CCCCCCCCCCCCCCCCCCATATCGCGGAACACCCCCCAATGTCCCCTTGCCACTACTACGTAGACGACGCAAAGAAGGCAAACGGAAGGTGACGACCTCAGGACCAGGAGACGCTTGTCGTGTCGCCAACAAAAAGAAAGCCAAAGCACTGGAGTCTGCCGTACGTATGTCACGGTCGCGTTATCTAGAGTCTGCTTGCTGTAGATATTCACCAAAAAGAACTGTGTTCCGTAATAATTTCGAGGACTGCGCGGTTGCGACGACAGTAATTGCCCACCTCTTTTCCCGACAATAGATCGAAACATTATCGATGATGAATCGATATCGAAAGTTTCATGTTTCGCCTGTTATCCGAGAAAGAGGTGGGATTATACTGTTGTTGCCGCAACCGCACAGTCGGCGAAAAAATTGGGGAATGCACGGTTCTCGTGAGGACGAGGAAGGCATGGCTTGGTTGGTTGGTTGGTTGGGTGGGTGGGTGGGTGGGTGGTCTATGAAAGATGCATACCGTGGGCGTGTGGCCTAACCCCCCCATGTCCCCGTTGCACTATTCTTGTAGTGTGACGACGAAAAGGAGGCAAACAGAAGGTGGGGACCTCTGGACCAAGAGACGCTTATCGTGTCGCCAAGAAAAAGAAAGCCAAAACACTGGAGTCTGCTGTACGTATATCCCGGTCGCGAAACTAGAGTCTGCTGTAGATATTCACCAAAAAGAACGGTGTTCCGTATTCATTTGGTCGACTGCGCTGTTGAGACCACAGTATTTGCCCACCTCTTTCTCCGATAGTTGCCGAAGCATGATCGATGATAAATCGATATCGAAAGCCCGTAAGAAATTAATACGGGCTTTCGATATCGATTCATCATCGATCATGTTTCGCCTGTTTTCCGAGAAAGTGGTAAATAGGAAGATATTGTTGTTGCCGCAAGCGCGCAGTCGGCTAATCTATTTAGGGAATGCACGGTTCTCGTTAGGATGAGGCAGGCATGGCTTGGTTGGTTTGTTGGTTTGTTGGTTTGTTGATTGGTTGGTTGGTTCGGTGGGTGGCCTACGAAGGATGCATGCCGTGGTCGCGTGGCCTACCCACGTGTACCACCGCGAAACACCCGGTTTTCCTCGCGCAATCTGTGAAACAATCAAATAATCTGTTGGCATCTCGCAAGCACGGCAGTGGTCCTTGTACTAGGCCGCAAAAAAAACGCCGGTCGCCCTGCAAAAGCCCGGTGAAATGGCATGGTTTCGTAGAAATCGCGTAGTTTCCTAGAACTCGCGTGGTTTCCTAGAAATCGCGTGGTTTCCTTCCATAATCGCGTGGTTTCCTAGAAATCGCGTGGTTTCGTAGAAATGGCATGGTTTCCTAGAAATCGCGTGGTTTCCTAGAAATCGCGTGGTTTCCTAGACATCGCGTGGTTTCCTCGAAATCGCGTGACACAGATGGAATATGCTCTGCATTGTGCCGTGTTCCCGGGTATAAGAGCGGCCGAACCCGTTGGCACTGCTGTACTGGCTTTTACAAGGGAACCGCTGCTGCTGTCTGTGGAGTTTTTTTTTTTTTTTTTGGTGTCACCAAAGGTTTTAGCAGAAGAATAGACGGACCATGTTGTCGTTTGTTCGGGGGTTGTTTGTAGGAAACACCATGCATACAGTCAAAAGAAAGACTAGCCGTTCGAGATAAAAACCGCATTTGAAGGGGATGGAGTTCAAGGGTTATTTCGGTAAAGTTTCAAAAATCCACATAAAAAGAGATTTTTTTTTGTTTTTTTTTTGCGCCGCAGGTTAAGCAGGAGCGCGCCAGGGCGGAGGAGGCGATGCACAAGCAGGCCCGGCGCAAGAACAAGGACTACAGCAAGTACTCCAATGAGGACGGGAGCTCGGGCAGGCGGCCGGCCATGAACATCGAGTACCTCGAGGCGAGACCCAAAAACGTTTTTTTTTCAGAACAGTAATAAAACAGAAATATTTGGCCGGAAAAATGCAGCCGAACCAGACCATAGTTTTGTCCAGAGTATCATGAAATTGGTGAGAATCACGCAATATACTTCCGTCTACTGAGGCAAACATGTAAATATTCGCGAGAAGCAGGCAACGAGGTAAATATCTTCATGCGTTGAAATACACTCATTCAATATTTGTGTTAAATTGTGAGCAAACTAAAACACTGCATTTTCATGCGTTTTAACAGCTCCCGTGTGTGTATCGTGGAACGTGTGTGTGCTGATATGGGCAACGTATTCGTGGACCACAGACATGGACTAAATCGCATGGGGCAGATAACGTGCCCAGCAATTGAGGAGAGCACATCCATCTGAAATCGCTATTATCGTCCGGTTTGATTGTTTTTTTGTTCGTATCAGCAAGGAGCGTTCGACGACAGTAAACCGAAAGACATGAGAGACGACGTCAGGGCCGGACGATACGACGACCTCGGGTGAGCTATTTTTGATGTCAGCAGCAGAAGTCCCTGTTTAGTGCCGGTATGCATGTGTGCCCCCAAGAAAATTAACCGGCACCATACCGCACACGGGCACTATTCAAAGTACATAATTACTTGGTTATTCCGCCCGTGCCCGCCAAAAACGCGGCACAATACCGGGCACCGGCAGTATTCAACCGGCACTAAACAGGACCTCCACTGCTGAATGTATTTGTTTCATTTCCTTCTGCGAGGGCACTGCTTTTGTTGGTTTGTTCATGTGTGGTCAACGGTCACGTGTTGTCCGAGTCTTGTTCCTCCGGCTGCGCGAAGCCGTGTGGCTTAGTGGGTGTTTTTTTTTGTTCTGTTCCTTACAAAATCCAAGATCATTTCGTCTCTGCCAGCAATGAGTCTATGCACTTTGTGAAGACATGGCGGCGTTCACGTTTTGTCCGTGTCTTGTTCTTGGCAGCTGCTTGGTTGGGAGTTTTTTTTTGTGTCTTACAAAGAACACCATGAACCCATGTCTTCCACAGGTAAGAAAAGAGTCCGCGGTAGTTTATATTAGCAATTTGTTCATGATATTATTCGGTGACCACCTTATTTTTCTACCAGTTCCCCGAGCAGCATAATGTGGGTGTGCTTTGTTTTTTCTTGTCGTCATCATCCCATTTCTGTACATTTAAAAAAAGTCTGGCGCTGCTGTGCTTTGTTGTGGCGTGGCGTGGCGTGGCGTGGCGTGGCGTGGCGACAAAAAAGGTCCTCCGAAATGGACGACGACGAGAGTGAAGACCAAGAGCGAGGCTTGGACGCATTCCGGGCGGAGAAGGCGGCAAAGGCGGCCGCGAAGGCAAGAGCGAACCAAGTCCTCGGCACCGACTCCGAGGAGGAGGAAGAGGAGGAAGACGAAGATGAGGCCCGGGGAGGATCCGCAGGTGAGCGGAAAGGGGTGCTCGGCCGTAGGTAGTCGTTAGACCATTGACCTCGCCGCCTGGACGGAAGCACACCGGGTTTTTGCCGGACCAGGCTGTCACATCGCGAAGCGCCGTGAGATGTTCACAGATTCGCATGGAGGGTGCGCGGCACCCGGCTGTAGCGTTGTTCAGGACAGGGGGGGGGGGGGGGGGGG